ATCTTTAAATTAATTATACTAACATGTTATATGTATGTGTATTTGTTTGCAGAGATCTTTTAATATTGAGGATTCTAGGAGAAAATATTGTATTCAGTTGGCCGGAAAACGCTTGAGGGGATTTAGAGCGTTTTTAACCAACAAATATCTTAAAGATTCTGATGGCAACTTTGTAGAGTCGGAGCGTCCAGTGAAGTACGCTGATTTGATTTCGGATGCAGAATGGGAGACATTTGTTGCGAAGCGAAGAACCAAAGAATTTGAAGTAAGTACAACTTATCATGAACAATGTATAGTATATATACCTATTCCACAAACAAACTGATATGACTTAAACTTGTTTTTTCAGGTTAAGAGTGACGTAAATCGGGAACGGGCATCAAACCCTGCGTATCCATATAGAAAGGGGCGTTTGGGATATGCACGCTTAGAACAAAAATTAGTAAGTGCATATATATGCTTTAATATGATCTATTTACAAAAAATAGTAAGTATACATAATAGGATATAATGCTTTATTGTTCGTCTTAATGCGTAGTTGGAAGAGGAGAAAAGTGATGCGACATCTCTTCCGGACCATGTCGTATGGAAGGCTGCCCGGGTGGGAAGAGATGGAGCCGTCCAAGAAGAAGTTCAACAAGTGTTTGAACAATGTGTAAGTACAACATTAGTTTTTGAACAAAGTGTTTAAACAAAGTGTATAAAATATTTAAATATGCTTTTATCTATATTTCAGGAGTCCCTATCCCAGACTATAACTCCTGCTGAAGACGATGATTGCAGGAGTTTATTGAGTCGGGTGTTGAATATTCCTGAGTACTCTGGACGTGTGAGGGGCAAGGGATTTGGTGTCACTCCATCCAAACTGTATAAGCAGCCAAGGAAAAAAAATCCAACCAATAAAGAAGTGATGGCTACTTTGGAGGAAATGAAAGCTCAAATTCGTGAATTACAGAAGGATAAGGAGAGATACATGTCCGAAAGGCGCGCTCCAGAGGCCGGTAAAGCTACTAGTGACAAAGATAGTATCGGTTGTCCGCAGAAGCTTCCAGAGGTAATTGTATATATTACATTGAAATTAATTTAGCACATTTTTCTTAATTGACACATTAACTGATCATTATTTGTTTAGGGCATTTCACCTTGTCGACTATATTTATCGTCGCCGACTTATCGCATGGTTGGCAAGGGAAAGGTGCATAACACCCTGGGAGACTTACTTCACCATAAACCCCTCCCTGCTGGATTTTTGAAAGTATCTGTTGATATTGCATTAGAGGGGGGCGTTGTTGCCTATGCCAGACGATGTATCAGACGCAACAGTGGTGGGAGACGCGATATGAGCTTATGTAGCATGGCCGGCGAATCTCATTTTCATGGATGATGAGGTAGGTTGAACCTTGTAATATTCCAATGTTTTATTACCCATACATGAAAGTTATTCTGACATTTACACTTTCTTATTGACATGATGATCTTAGACTCCCACAAAATCCAAAACAAAAGATGATAAAATTATTGTGCGGGATACCGATTCAGCTGCATCAAAGTTACAGGTACTAGTACTACAGTTTAAGTGATTATTTTATTATAAATTATTTACTGAACTTATATATGACTTTTAGGTTCTTGATCAGCAGTCGCAACAAGTCAGCAAGGGAAACATGCCTGAAACTTCCAAGGTGCCCAAAAAAAAGGTCGAGACAAAAGGAGCATTTGTTCCTCAATTTAGGTCGTGCCTTCAAACATATGTAGGGACAACAGACGTGCCTGAGGGCGGCATCCGTCTAATACATATGGATCAAGGTATTTTCGGTTTTGAATATTCCGAAACACTTGCTAAGGAGGATTTCGACCAGGTTTTCAAACATTTAGAACTGGGCGTCGGGGTTATGCATTCCTACATCAGGTACTTCGATCCATTTTAATTAGATAATTGAACATTTTAAAATTCGCTCGTTTAACTGAATAATCTAATGTTGATTATATTTTTTTAGGCGCTTGTATGACAAGTTGTTGGTCCCCGCTGATTTGACTTCAGTATTCGCATTCTTATCTGCTAGCAGTGTCAACTCACGGACAATAGACCAGACACCAGAAGCAGTCAAAGAGTACACAGTCCAAAGATTTATGGGTGCGAATACGGAGAAGTTGTTTATGTTGCCATATAATACTGGCCATGGGTTAGTTTTTATTCTAAATTCATTTATTATAATTGTTCGATTTTTGCCATATTATATAACATTTCCGTCTAAACTGTTGTCTTATTTTATAGTGGTCACTGGTTGTTGGTCGCAATTAATCCGATTAAAGAAATAGTGTATTATATAGATTCATTGGATGGCGATACAAACAAATATGAAAATCTGAAGAACATGGTTGATACGTAAGTGATGATGTATAGTGTTCTGAATAATTATATATGTTTATTTATTATGTGACATTGTTCTAAATATGTGTTTATATTATGTTAGAGTTATACAAATATACATAGCACAGAGAGATGCAACAGTGCCAAAAAGCAGGGCTAGCAACATCAACTGGATCAGAATGGAGGTATATTTTCCCATGTTTGACTGTTATAGTGGTTCTACTTATAAAACTATTTAAACTATATATCCTGATAAATGTTCGTTCGCTTTTTTCCTAATACAGTGTCCTCGTCAGCGTGGTGGGATTGACTGCGGATATTTTGTACTGCGCTTTATGAAGGAAATCATTCTTTCTGGTCAATTAGAGATTCCAATCATGGTATGGATCAATTCATGAGTTATATGATTCATTTTGATAATTAACTAATATTTCATCTGAGTAATTAGTATTAAATCGTGCTTGTTCTGTTATATTATGTAGTATTTTGATGAATTCAAATGCGCTACGTACTCGAAAGTAAAATTAGAAGAAATTAAGGAAGAATGGTGTCAATTTATGATTGAGTTAAGAATTCTATAATGTATATTGGATTTGTAATTATGTGTAAATTGTATATTGTATATTGTATATTGTATATTGTATAATGTACAATGTTTAAATTATGTGTAAATTATACTTGAGTTAATTATGTGTAAATTGCAAAGTGTTATTGTATAATGTACAATGTTTAGTTATATTGTGTTGAATTAAAGGCCAAGTGTTGAATTACAATGTTTAAAGGTCAAGTTATATTTAAGGCCTGAATTATAAGCAGGGAATTTAATTGTTATAAGCAGGTTTGTCTAAAAATATATAAAAAATGTAATTTTTCAAAAAAAAAAATTTTTAAAACGTGAAGTATAGACAGCGTTTTTACAAGAAAGCGCTGCTAAAGGAAGAAAAATAGGCATAAAAAAGCGCTGCTATAGGTTAGTAAAGGAGGGGTCTAAGAAAGCGCTGCTAAAGGGTGGTCTACAAAAGCGCTTTCATAAAGCGCTGCTACAGGGGGGGAGGGGGAGGGAGAATAGGCCGCGCTTTGAAAGCGCTGCTAAAAGGGTAAAAAAGCGCTGCTAAAAGTGATACCTTTAGCAGCGCTTTTTCCATAAAAAAAAGCGCTGCCTTTACCTTTAGCAGCGCCACTTAGCGCTGCTAAAGGTCAAAAAAAGCGTTGCTAAAGGCCATTTTTGGCATAGTGAAATCATCCTTATTTATTAATATTTTCTGCTATATATATATAACTTAAGATGTATCATGTTAGTGTATGAAACATTTTAAGTGTGTTGGTTCAATGATGAACAAAATTGATTTTGTAAATGTGATTTTGGTTAAAAGTAAGTTGAAGGTATAATGATTTTTGTTTGGATGGATTTAGAGGTGTAAATTTGATTTTTATCTGAAGTTATCAAGAGTAAGTTGAAAGTATGATGATTTTTGTTTGGATGGATTTAGAGCTGTAAATTTGATTTTTTATCAAAAGTAAGTTGAAAGTATATTGATCTTTGTTTGGAAGAATTTCTATAAAAGTGAGTGAAAATGTAAATTTCAATATAAAAATCACATTTAAATTCAAAAGCTAAAAATCCTTATTTTAAATAGAATTAATTCTAGAAAGCATAATCATTTATATTTGAAAGTTACCAAACACTATCAAAATCAATTCTACAAATTCAAAATCAATTATGGATGCTCCAAATTCGGAACCGAACATTCACTATAAGAATAATCAGCCTTTTCTATATAAACAAGCAGACCCTAACACTCCACAACAACATGCAGAAAAAGAAAGAACACCATCATGATCAGGGGACCACGAAAAAAACCTTTTGCTATATAGGAAGGAGTTGTAGAAAAATTGAACTATGGACTATCTATCTTTTGTGTGTTTGATTTTGGGTTACTTGGAGCAATCAACTTCAGATACTCCGTCTCATTTAAGGAATAAAATCATAAACAAAATCAACCACAGAAAGCTTTTTCAGATTTGGACACTTTGTTTGTATTCAGAACATAATCATGATTCAAGTGATTCAGTATCAAATTCTGTGATTCAAAAGATTCAATCAAACATCTATATTGACTGAGTCTCATTTTGTATAGTATATGAGAAAGAAAGATCGTCTTCATACACAACATACATCACATCACACTATTCAAAGATGTTAATTAAAAACATCAACATTCCGGTTTTAGAGATATCCACCACGAAGTTGCAATCACGATTTGCTCATTAATCACAACCGCAATTTAGAACATGCACTCCCCAAGAGAAGAGATATAAACAAATATGAAACTCCCTAGCAAAATATTCCTAATGGTATAACTTTGAAGGCTTCATAAATTGCCATCACTCATTGTAATCTGTAACAACTCATATCCGTTACAATATCTAACAATATTGAAAAGTTAATATTTAATAACTTTTCCTTTGCAAACAAAGTGATCAAATTCCTGATTTTGAATGGGATTCATACCAAATAAGAGAGTAAAAAATGTGCATAAACTCTTGATATAAGTTACCTGCAAATTTGCCAACATAATCAGATTTAAAACAAGTCTGAGCTTATAACAAGGCGTTTAGAATAAGAATCCTATTCAAATTTAAAATGTGGATCTACATCTCTGTATCTCCTCATCAGCTCAATCATGGATGTGGTGAAATTGGCTAATATCTTGCATTCTTCATCAGTCTTGGTCTCGGAAACAATACCATGGATGACTAGCTTCTTGAGAATAGGGCAACGCTTAAGCAGCCCTTCAACCCACTGGGAGAAAAGATCATTAATCACGCTCCACCCAAGCTCTAAGACAACAACATTCTCCAGATCAGAAGAGCCTCGTAAACCGTAGTGAAGCACTCCATCTCTCACATCATAACTCAGAGATAAATGAGTCAGGTGCGGAAAGCAAGTGGCAATTGTTTCCAAATCCACAACCTCGTCCTCGTCATCAAATATCACATCCCAAAGCCTAAGTCGCTTTAAATTTGACGATCTCGATATCATCTGGTAAAATTTTGGCCATATAATCGTGAAGTTGCTGATATCCACATTCTCAAGATTCTCAACAATCTCACCGATATCAAGATGTGTAACACTAATATCATCAATCCTAAAACTCTTCAAGGTCCCCTTTCCAATAAGTTCAAAATCCTCGAGAGAACAATCTTTCAAGTACAAACACTCAATCCCATCCGCCTCCAATACAAACTTGTCCAAACTGATTGCTTCTACATAAACACTCTTCAGCGTCGAGCTACTCAACTCAACGGTCACTTGACCATCCGACATCGCGATCTCCGGATTCACAAGCTCCAAAGCTTCAATCCTCGGACAAGCAGACACCAAAAGATTCAAATCCAACGCAGATATAGTAACATAACTCAACGAAAGTGATTTCAAACAAGGGAACCTCTGATAAATCGGCTCAACCCCAACAATAGAATTATGAGACAAATCAAGTATTTCCAGCTTATGCCTACCACATATCTCAAGAATGTTAACATTCGGCATAGTCTTCACATTATAAAACAACTGCCTCAGAGTCTCCCTAGTGTACATAAGCCAAGCAATAACAGCAGAAGCCGAGAATTCATCGACATCCTCCATCAAAATCGAAAGCGACTGCAACCCCGATGTCTGTAATATCGTCTGCGTGATCAAAATCTCGAGACGGATAGTCGTCAAATCACGGTAAACCGGCCAATCATTAGAGCTGAAAGAAAGTGTATGCAGGTGTTTGCAGCATGCAAATCTCCATTTCTTGCATGTTGCTGAGGCTATAACTACGTCCCTAGCAGCCTTGAGATGGGACAGTATGTTCCCAATCACTTCAACAGGAAGCTGCTTCATATGAAATCCCAATACACCTTGCAAATTCCTCACAATTTCACAAAGCATTCACAAACACAAACCCAGGGTATTGTTGTGTTAACTGTTGATAACATGCAAAAAGGGAATTTTTTTTCAATTCTTCCATCAATTCAAAATTTAATTCAACTGAAAATTCTGTTATGATATCAATGGATGAATTTACGAGATAAATCAAACGAAAATCAGAAATGGAATTTACGAGATGAATTGAAATTTGGGATCAGAAATGGAATTAAAAACTAAATGAGAATAATTAATTATAGATTAGAAAGAAATGGAAAAGGGTTTAAGTGAGACTGAGAAAGGTAATTACCTGAATAGTAGGAATTGAAGAAGAAACGAATGAAGATTCTTGAATGTTGTTGGGTTTATACAGAAAAGGAACAAGATCTTTACACGCGCCCATTGATGTGAGAAACTGTGACTTACAGATTATTTTATAATAACAAAAATGCTTTTTATTAAAAAAAAAAATATTTTTATTGGTTTCAATTGTGTTCTAGTTAAAATAATCATTTAGCTGTATTTTTTTTTTTTTAAAATAACTATTTTCTTTTCTCTTTCTTTATCTTTTGACGAGCAATCATAGTTTTCATTAGGGGTGGACAATCGGTAACCATCCGATGTTACCCGGCCGATCCGAAATGTGTTTTGCAATACGGGTCGGTTAAATTCGGATGACGGATATTTCTGGACCGTTTGATTGGATATTAATGGATATGGATGGTCGAATTCGGTTTGTAATTTGGAACCCGTCGGAATCCGAAACCGATCGGTTATAATATTATTATTCTTTAATTATTAGTTGTATTCTTTAATTGAGTACTGAGTAAAAACCTATCTCTATTTCACATTACACATTACACACACTTCTTCTTCACAAAATATGGGTTAGGGTTTGAAGAAACCCATCTCTATTTCAATCGCTTTGCATAAACCTTTCCAGTTACCACTCCAACAACCTTCGACCGTCGTCGCTCTCCAACCTTCAGGTTAATTCTCTCACTCTCTCTCATACACACATACTCTCTCTTTCTCTCTCTCTCTCTCTCTCTCTCTCTCTCTCTCTCTCTCTCTCTCTCTAAACTAACACACAAACCATCATCCTTGTTGGTTTCAGGTTAGGGTTAACGCAGCTCCATCATTGTCTCTCTCGGTACCGCCATCATCGTCTCTCTTAAGCTTTTGATTCAATTATGTGACCATTCATATATTTTGTTAGATTATGTTAAATGGTGAATATTGATTTTTTGTTGCCTTTCCATCTTGTCATATAATCAGTATATTTTATTGCAGGTTTATGTGTAAAGATTCAGGTTCACAAGGGTTAGCAGTATTATTATTATTTGACTTCCAAATTTACTCAGGTGTTTATTCTCTTCAATATGCACACTTCCTTATCTCTGGAGTTGTTTTTCCCTTTGTTCGCTTCCCTGTTCCATATCTTTGCATCTTTAACGTTGAGTGGTAGTGACTGAGTTTAAATAATTATGATATATATGAAGCTTAAATTCTAAGTATTTGTGTTAGTTGTTTATTTGTGTCTATGTTTGGTTACTCATTTGTGTTTATTTTTGGCTTTGCTTATTTGCTCAGTTATGGAGTAAGACACTCCAATTACCAATGAACATTCTCCAACCTCACCTAATGTACCAACAACCACAACACCTAATGTACCAACAATCACAACACCTATTGAACCAACCACAAATTTTCTGCCTATTCCTAAGAAAAGAAGACCTAATGCAAATGGTAATAGAAAGAGATCTGAGGTTTGGGACCATTTTAACCTTATTCCTAATAGTGACCCCCCTATTGCTGCTTGTAAATACTGCCATCAAATGTACATGTGTGACTCTAAGAAACATGGAACTTCAAACTTAAAGAGTCACATGAAAACATGCCCTAAGTATCCGTTGAACTTGTCAACTGACCCCACCCAAACAATCTTGACATTTTCAACAACTCAGGGAGTTGGGCTGGTTCCAGCAAGTTCTAGGTTTGATCATGTAGGTTGTAAAAAGGGGTTAGCTTATTTTATCATTTTGGATGAGAAACCCTTTATTATAGTTGAAGGAGAAGGGTTCAAGTACTTTTGTAAGAAAATGCAGCCCCAATTTTCTATACCGTCAAGGAGAACCATATCTAGGGACTGTTTTCAATTATATCTTGATGAGAAAGTGAGGTTGATGGCATTCTTTAAATCTGATTGTAGTAGGGTGGCAATAACAACAGATTATTGAACATCTGTCCAAAGTCTAAACTATTTGACCCTAACTGCCCATTTTATTGATAGGGATTGTAATTACCAAAAGAGGATTATTAGCTTTACCGTTATTCCAAATCACCGTGGTAGAACGGTTGGTAAGAAGGTTGAGGATGTATTGAAGGAGTGGAGCCTGAGAAATCTTTCTACTATTACGGTTGATAATGCGGCATAAAATGATGTTGCTGTTAAATATTTAGAGCAGAAAGTAAGAAATATGAATGGACTTTTAATGGATGGGTTTGGGTTTCACATGAGGTGTTGTGCTCATATATTGAATTTGGTTGTTAGAGATGGATTAAAATTAGCCAGCACCTTAATTTCAAGTGTTAGAAATGCTATTAGGTTTGTGAAATCTTCACCCCATAGAGCTTTAAAGTTCAAGGAGTGTGTAGAATATGTCGGGATTACATGTAAGAAGTCAGTATGTCTTGATGTTTCAACTAGATGGAACTCGACATATTTGATGTTAGATGCGGCTGAGAAATTTCAAACTGCTTTTGATAAACTAGAAGATGGGGATGAAGACTATAGGGATTTCTTTGACGATGATTCCCCCTAGTAGTCAAGATTGGGATATTGTTAGAGTTTTTATTAAGTTTTTGAAGAAATATTATGAAGCGACAAAGGTTTTTTCTGTTTCAACAAAAGCAAGTTTGCATACTGCTTTTCCATTCTTGGCTGAAATCTACATTGAACTTAAGAAATTAAACATGGACCTTAATGGATTGTTTGCAAATGTGGCACGAGACATGTTGGAAAAGTTTTGTAAGTACTGGGTTGATATCACTAAGATGAACCGGCTCCTTTATTTTGGTATTATTTTTGATCCCCGATATAAGTTAAGATATGTGGAATGATGCTTTGATGATATGTATGGAAAAGATTCAGACACTAAGAAACCCGTATTAAAAGATATCAATGACAATCTTTCAAAGATGTTTGATCTTTACAAACAAGCCCATGAGATTGTTGGAGGCTCAATCACATCTACTGCAGCCGTTGTTTCTCATGGTGAAATGGCTGCCAGTGACGAATTACCGACATATATAGCTAGAGAAAATGCTTTTCAGGAACATTTGATGTCTATTGATTCAGTGGAAGAAGAAACCGAGCTTCAGAGTTATATTGCTAGAAAATGTTTAACTTTCAATGAAAAAGATAAAGAAAAGTTCGACATTCTTTGTTGGTGGAAACATAATGCTGGTCAATACCTGGTTCTGTCCCAAATAGTTAGAGATATCATACCTACACCAGTTTCAACTGTGGCTTCTGAGAGTGCATTTAGCACGGGTGGAAGGGTTTTAGAGGTATACAGAAGCTCTCTCAAATCAAAAATGGCCGAAGCTTTAATTTGTACTCAGAACTGGTTGAGACCTACCTTTTACCAATTCAAAGGCATGGAACTTAACGAGGATTATGAGATATCTGAAGAGGCTTTACTAGGTATTGTGTCTATTTTTCTTTAAGTGTAATTTTTTATTCTGTTTGTAAAATGTTAAAGTTAAGATTTTCTTATTATGTTTGTAATTTCTTATTATGTTTTAAATATATTTTAGGATTTACTGAAACTTTAGTTGGAAGTGAAGCACTATCTTCTTCTCATACCCAGTAACAGATTTCGGTCTGTACCTGAAAAACATATTCAGGTTCAACTCCCTTGTATTTTTGTTCATGTGTTTTTGTTAAATAAAACATGTATTCTTATGTTTTCCCTTATATTTGCAGCAGACACTTTTTGAATTTTTTTGGAGTCATGAGTGACTCGTATTTTGAATCCATGTATAACCAACCGAACACTTTTTGAAAGAATATCTAGAAACTTTTGATGAATCCATGTATAACCAACCAAACACTTTTTGATGAATCCATGTAATACCGGGAGTTGTCCCTTTGGTGATGACTGTCACTTTGCTCACGGAGATGCAGGTAATAGGACTGGTTTTGGTTTCTTTTATGATTCTATTGTTTTGTTCTGCTCAAGATCTGTTTTTACATTTTTGGTACAAAATTACAGTTTTCCCATTTTTGCAATATGATGTACAAAATTGCAATATGATCTTTTATGATGTACAATGTCTGGACTGGTTTGTTCCTTTTCTTTCATTTGCGTGTTTAGCAATGAGTATTGTACTATTATACTGATAATCAGAAACATTAGTCAGTCTCACTTTTAAATTCCTTTTCAACCGTGCTACGCCTCCTGATTTGCAGCAATGGACTGAGATGGCTGAGAGTTATGATAATCTTACTGAATCTGTTAGCACTATATATGATGTATACAATGCTATTTCTAAATATATTACAATATTTTATGCATGTGAATGAGAGCATTTTTATCTTTACAAGTTAGGATAGAAATGGTGGAAAAATATGTTGGTCTAACAGATTCATATTTATCCGTTGTAAAGGTGAGCTGATCTTTCCCTTGATATACATTCCAAGAATGGCAGATAACAGCATTTCAATTTTTCTATAATTTTTTTCTTCTTTTTGTCCGATTTTTTCCATAAATTTATGTCATATTAACTAGCAATAATCTGAGTTTCACATTTTTGTTGTATTCTTAAAACTGTTATCAGTTATTTATTGGTTTATGTATTCTTTATTTTTATATAATTTTAAGTGTACATATATTTGGATTTTAGAATTGTTTTATTTATTTATTTGACAACAGAGTTTTTGTTTGTTCTAATGTCATTGACGTATACTG